TTTCCTCATTCCTGTCTTTCCTTTCATTTTCAATCCCTCTTATACAATCCGCGGGAGAGACAACGACAGAGAGAGAGTCCGGGTTACCTCTCTTCTGCCCTCTCTAGTCGCTTGCCTCAATCCCTGACTGGTTCGCCTCTCCTGTACCATCTTTCCCGTTGAGTCTGTTTTTCAGTTTGATTTCAGTGCACCTTCGTTTCTTTGATCCTGTACGAGTATACACATGCCAAAGAAAACGGCGGAAGGATCGTGCCACTCGCTTCAGCAGCCGTTCATTACCTACATGAAACCACAGATTGAGCGTATCTCAATATCCTCGAGTCTTCTTGCTCCCCGTACAGGACGAGCCCCAAACCATAATTGTTTTATTGATTGGCAATGAACCATCACAGTTCTATCAACGACTTACCATCAGAAGAGAAGATGGGCCTACTGGACCAAAGACGGGGTTCGGATGCTGCAACAGATGTCAGTGACAGCAGTACTGGTACTGCGACTGGCGCTGGTATAGCCACAACTCCGGCCCATACCGACGGCCATTTTCAATTCGGTCTTTTAAGTCCTTCAGCTGATTCCCTGAAAGCACCCTTCGGATACATTCGATCAACACCATGGCGGATTCTTGCCGTCCGCTTCCTTGTTTTTCTCACACCTAGCTTCTTGCAAGGTCGTCACGCTCGCGAGCAAATATCCCCGGCTAAACTTGCTCCAACTGCCTACCTTGATGGCATGCGTGGTCTGGCAGCACTCTTCGTCTTCTTTTGTCATTACTTTTATCAAGCATTCACTATCGCCGAGGGATGGGGTTGCGGTGAGACCAACTACCACATTCTCAAACTGCCATTCCTTCGTCTTTGGTACCAAGGCCCTCCGGCCGTCTGTGTCTTCTTTGTCATTTCTGGATATGCGTTATCATACCGACCTATAAAACTAATTCGAAACGGAGCTTGGCCTGATTTCGCCAATACCATGAGCTCTTTAATATTTCGACGTGGAATTCGTTTATATCTTCCCACTGCAATCTCAACTTTCATGATTATTTGTTTCTTGCGCATCGGCGCATACGAATGGACTCGAGATTTTGCCAACGATCGAAAGTACATGAAAAACATTGTAGAGCCGCATCCAGCCCGCATGGAACATGCATATGCTCAATACAAGGATTGGCTATTACATATGTTTAGATTTCTCCAAGTTTTCAGCTGGGACAAGTTTGGTGGAAGTACCTGTAAGACGAAATGATCCATATTCAACATGTTTTCTAGAAATACATACTAACACTCTCTTTCCAGCTTATGACGTCCATTTATGGACTATACCCGTTGAATTCCGATGCTCGCTGTACCTCTTTCTTACCATTATCGGCACTGCCCGCCTGCGTACTTCGGTGAGATGGCTCACTGTTGTCTTCGTCATGTTGGTTACCTATCGCAACAGCCGATGGGAACTTTTGCTATTCTTTTGCGGGATGCTCATTGCTGAGAATGATCATATCCGTGGTGCGCACGTCCCGGCATCTAACCCACCCCTGCCGATGGAAGAAAAGCCTCGCTCGACCAAGACCAAGCTGTGGCCCATCTTCTGGGCCCTATTCAGCATTCTTGGCTTGTACTTGATGTGTCAGCCGGATGGTCGTGGTGAAATCACCCCTGGATGGATATGGCTCTCCTCCCTCATACCCAAGTGGTGGAAGGAAGAAAGGTACCGCTATTGGCAGTCGACTGGTGCCGTCGTTTTCATCATTGCTGTGAGCCATTCACATCGATGGCAACGCTTCTTTAACTTGCCAGTGGTTCAGTACTTTGGCAAGATCTCATACGCCCTCTACCTTATGCACGGACCAGCCATGCATGTTGTTGGCTACCACTTTGAGAAGTGGGCATACAGCGTCACCGGAGTGCAAGGCTACTGGTATAATGCCGGATTCGTCCTGGGGGCGTGCTTTTGTATTCCCACGGTTGTGTGGTGGGCGGATATCTTCTGGAGAGCGGTTGACATTCCTACTGTCAAGTTTGCCAAGTGGTTTGAGAGCAAAGTGATTGCCAAACAGTGAGCTCAGATGAAGATATTCACAGAGAGAAGAGGAGAATGGTTTCTTTGATTCGGATGCATAAACTAAGAGCTTTGCAGCTTAGATGGCGTTAATAGCGGGGTGTTATGTTATTTCCAATATGGGCTTGATTTTGTCTTTGATCGTCACCATCGAAGGAGATTTCTATTTGGTATTATATCTTCCAAAAATTTACGTTCTTCATCTAAGTACAGTGCATAAACTGCAAGGGGTATGTCGTGAACTTATTTTCTGCACGAAAAACGGCATTATTAGAGTCCATATAACATCTTATGCCAGGGGCGCGGCTCAGAGAGTGAGAATAAAATTGTGAGATGAGCGTACACACCTAGTAATTTGCCCTTACTTGGCATCTGACAACGGCCATTGTTTCTCATCTCGTGAGTATACTCTTTTTCCCGCCACCCAAGTTTCTCTTACTTTGAGTGTGCGAAGCTTCTCGACATCCATGTCCTCCAGCGGCTCATCAAGCACAACCCAATCCGCAAACGCACCCCGCCTGATTGAGCCTGCATATTGCTCGATAAACGCCCCGTATGCAACATTCTGTGTGAAGCCTATAAGCGCTTCATCCAAGCTGAGAGTCTCTTGCGTGTGCCATCCTTGTGAGGGGTCATTTGGATCAGGCCCTAATCCGGTGTGCGGGTTCTTCCTCGTGACCGCAGCGTAAATTCCCTGGAACGGGTTTGGTGGCTCGACGGGGAAGTCGCTGCCAAGGATGGGTTTGATGTCGAGTACAGACTTCATGCGGTAGGCTTCCTCCTTTGTTCTCTTTGGTCCGAGTCTTTCCTCGGCGTACTTCATGTCGGAGGTGGCGTGGGTGGGCTGAATGGAAGGGATGATGCCGAGAGCGCGCATGCGTTTCTGGTCATCGGGGTGGATAATCTGGGAGTGTTCGATGCGGAACCGGTGCTTGGATTGACAATCGGCAAGATTTTCTTGTCCACATTGCTCCTTCAAGGCTGCTTCAAAGGCATCAATGGCATTGCGGTTGGCCAGGTCCCCTATGGCGTGAATGTTGACTTGAAAGCCCTCTCTGGCCCAAGCTTTGGTCACCTCTGTAAGGGCTGACGCGTTGATTAAGAGGGATCCGGAAGTCCAGGGGTGGTCACTATATGGCTCAAGCATGGCACTTCCCCAGCTTCCCAAAGCTCCGTCTTTATTAGAAGAGAGAAATGTTAGCACCGCAGCAGATCTCCTTGAAGTTGAGTAACTCACCAGCGAATAGCTTGACGCTGCGCAGTCCAAACATTCCGTTTGAAAGAGTGATTTGAGGAGTGGCTTCGGGGCAAAATGTGTTTCTCTTCGCACACTCCAGCATACTGTAGACTCGGACAGTCCAGTCTGGAGAAGTCGCTAGTTCTGAATACAACTGAGCGGTGTCTGCCGTCACACCGGCGTCGTGCATTCCTACCAGGCCAACCTTGTTCAACTCCTTCATAGCCGACTTGATGGCTCGGGCTTTTTCTTCTTCTCCGGGCTTCGGCCACAGGGCCATGATCATGTCCATGGCATTGTCGCAGAAGACTCCCGGGCCAGGATCACGAATGATATCACCCCCGGGAACGTCTGGGATCTCCTCCGGGAGGAGGTTCAACACTGACTGTGAAACCCATGAGCAATGAACATCAATTCTGTCCAGCATCATGAAGATTCCTCTGAGTTCGTCATCTTGCTCAATATCGTTCTAAGAGTCAATGATAAGATCACTTATTAGCAAAGAGAGTTTAAGTTCTATATGAGAGTCATCAACTTACAGCAGTGGGCATGCGTCCAAAGGCAGATTGATCCCATCCAATACCACGAAGCCACTGGCCTTTCGTGCCTGCTCCCGGGTTTGCGGCAAGGTATGTCTTGATGCGATCTCTCACTTCATCGAGCGATTTGGAGCCAAAAAGGTCAACCGAGTGAAGAAATTCTCCATACTGTAATAGATGCCCGTGGCCGTCCCAAAGACCAGGAATCGCATAGCCGTCTGAAACGGAAATGTCGGCTCCTTTTACTTGGTGGAGAGAGTCCCTGCTATCCTGGGTCCAGACGTAGCGAATCATGCCATCCTCCACCGAGAAACATTCAGCAGACGGATGTGCGGCATCATGAGTCCTCACACTCTGGTAGCAATATACTGGAAGAGGGTCATTGTGAACACCCGTGAAGAGAAACGGATGTTGCTGGAAAGAGTAGGCAAACACCGCGGCTGCAATAACTGAGATAATGGAACCCCAGCGAAGGAGCGGCGATAGAGCCATTTTTCTCAGAGTTGGGATGGATTCTGCAGGCCCGAAACAGCAACTATCCTCCAAGTTAGTGCTTATATACAATTTTCTTCTTATAGTTTCGGAATCACTCTGACATATGGCTTACGCCAAAAGTGCTGATGCTTTACATGAAGGGCACAAAAAGTGGTCCTGGAAATGTTGATAGTGCGCCTTTGTGAGAAGCCTTTTTTTTTTTTCTCTTTTGGTATCCCGACCGTAGTCCGAGACATTTTTCTGGTCCCTTGCAGTGCGACGCCCTATCTCTAGCCAAAGGATTTCGGTATCGATTATGATTTGTTAAAACCATGGCTATTTTGCCGCTGATCAGGGACTGGCTTGCGGACGCTAGCATTGAGTTGGAGGCATGGCGGGGTGAAATGGCGCCGAAAAAAGGAGGGGCAGGCTGTTGAAGAACCCCTCATTGGGATTTGGGGTTGCGCAACAGCCTTTTTGCGAGGGCTGTTGATGATTCGTTTGCTCGACTGTCAAGTGATTTTGCTGTTTGTTTGTTGTTTGTTTGTATTGAAATAATTGTGATGTGTGAAGTAGAAATTTGGCGGTGAATCACGTGTGCAGGCGATGGTGATGGCATCTTCTGGGAAAGGAAAGAGCTTAAGGACAGAGTAGCGACTTGCCGTTTGTCGCATTGATCGCAATTAGACTAGCAAACTATCAAAGTATTACTTCGTATTACTTCGTATTTCTCCTTCTCTCATCCTTACAACTTCTCCTTGTTCTCGACCTCTTGCTGCGAATAAACACTTCTTTGGGAGATAAACAAGAAAGACTCAGAACACGGCCGAGCTACTCCTGTCCAGAACTTTTGACTGATACCCAACAAAATCACAGCCATGGCTACACCGACTTCACCAGCCCAGCTCGATGAGCTCGTCCGGACTCGTGTAGACAAGCCCATTTCTCCAGAAGTTCTCTTACCTATTCTCTCTTCTGCACCCTTCATCCCCAGCAAGACGCTCATCAACGCCCGTGATATCGGCGCTGTGCCCGGCAGCAAGATTCCCTCTGGGCGCATCTTCCGCTGCGGCACTCTAGAGTACGCCAGCCATGATCCCGACACCGTGGCCTGGATCAAGGCCAACGTCCGCCACATCTACGACCTTCGCAAGCCACTCGAACGAGAACACGGCCCTGACCCCGAGATTGAGGGAGTTGAGAATGTCTGGTTCCCTGGGTCGCAAGAGTACAAGACGCCGAGCTTGGAGGATTTCGCCAAGGGGGACGGCAGTGCCGCCTGGAAGGACCAGTACATGGCGGTTGCTCTCACCTATGCGCCGACATACAAGGCGGTCCTAGAACACATCAGAGATAGTCCCGCGGAGCCATTTCTCTTTCACTGCACAGGTAGGCAATTGTTCTTGGCTACGGGCTGCGTCCTCGTTACTAACACGGTGAATTAGCCGGCCGTGACCGCACTGGAGTTCTCGCCGGCCTTCTCCACCACCTCGCCGGCACGGCGACTGACGATGCAGTTCGTGACTACATGCTTTCCCGAATCGGTACCGAAGTCGCTCGCGAGAAGCTTCTAAGATTCGCCATGGATAGCGTTGGCACCAACGATATGGAGGTACCAGGCTTCTACAACCTCGTTGAGCTGCGGCCGCAGTACTGGACTGCCTTTGTCGGGGGTCTCGAAGAGCAGTTTGGTGGCTGGGACGGCTACGTGACCAAGGTTCTGGGGCTGTCAGAGGAAGATCTTATTACTGTGAAGAAGAACATTCGTTCTTGAGGTTTTGCTATGATGACGAGAGAAGAAGTGGCAGTTATCAATCTGTTTTGCATTGTTGTTTGTGATACCATAGACGTTTGATGACGTTGAAGATGGCTATGCTGAGAGCTTCGACTGTTGAATATCCAATCCCGTCTTGAAGCATCCAAATTTCCTATTACAGAAAAGCCTCTCACGTTCGGTGAAAATATTTATCCGTATTTATTAAGGTACGCCAGCAAGCGGAGGACAGAAAAACCGAGACCGGGAAGATTTCAAACACCCACGAGTTAAAATTTTCTAGTAACTACTACTATATTTATATTTTTCTAATAACTATTACTACATATAATAAAGTTTAGGTGCTGGCTGAATAGGCGTTCAACGAGTTGGTTAAGTGCTCATATTACTGAATGTATGTACGTATTCATTTTGCGGTCTTGCTTTTTCTGACCTCCGCTTGGCCAGTCTAACACAACTCCACACCTCTGGGATTGAGCCTTAGTCAACTCCGTGATAGCTAACGATGGCGGCCCAAACAGTTACCAAGACCAGAACTCATGATGATTACGCTGCGGGATGGGTCTATGCGTTATCTAAAAAGCAGACCGCGGCCACGGCTATGCTAAATAAGAGACATAATAATCTTATTAAACCGCCAAATGACCCAAATACATATACCTTGGGGTTAATCGGTAAGCATAATATTATTATAGCTTGCTTGCCTTAAAGTAAGACCGGTACTAGCTCAGCAGCGACATTTGCGACATAGATGATCTCCACTTTTCTATTAATCAAGTTTGGCTTGATGGTTGGTATTGGAGGAGGTATTGCCCCTAAGGTTCGACTTGGCGATGTAATTGTCAGTGCTTCTACGGGGTGGTATTCTGGGGTAGTTTAATGGGATTACGGTAAGGCAGAGAAAGGGGGTGAATTTAAGTAGATCGGATTGTTGAATAACCCACCGGCTCTCCTCCGTACAGCTTTGATGAAACTGAGAACAGAGAATGAGTTGAGCGGGTCTAAGATACCTGAGTATTTAGACGAACTAGCCAGAGATGGCCGAGACTCGTGTCCAGGTATACTTGGTCACAGTCACTTAAAGATCCTTTGCATACTACTGCGGCCGAGGGAGGTGAAAGAAAGCCGAGAGAGATATGCGTGCATTATGGTTTAATTGCCTTCGGTAACTAAGTGATTAAAGACGCTGAGCTTTGTGATACCCTTGATTAGCGTTATGAGGGGAATGTGTTGTGCGTTGAAATGGAGGCTGCAGGATTGATGAATAATTTCCCTTGTATTGTCATTCGGGGTATTTGCGACTACGCCGACTTGTAAAAGAATAAGGACTAGTAGGAATACGCTGCGGTAGTAGCTGCGGCGATTGCAAAGGAACTTTTGCACTATATTTAGCTACGTGATGTTAACGGAGAGCGTCTAGTGAGAGACATAATTAAAGAGGGTAAGTTGTTCCCTAGTTAAGTAGATGGTAGATCTTTGATAATAAATGTAGTTTATAATGACGTTACATACATTAAGGCCAAGCTAGATAGAAAGGATGATGTTGAAATTCTTAATTGGCTTACACGAACCGACTACGGCCTGTAGTAAAGCGATTACTTTAACAGACGGCAACCGGAAACCGGAACTTAGTTTCTTGAGTCGGTAGAGTTCTAAGACTGGTTTGTTATAAGTAAGTAAACGCTGTTTTGTCTAGGTATCCTAGGAGCAGGAAAGATTATTTTGACGTTAATTGTGGTCGATTACCTTTGCTTAAAGTTTTATAATAACTTGAATATTGGCATTGCCTATATTTACTGCAATTTTAAAAAGTAGGAAGAGTAGAAGATTGACGATTTGTTAGCAAGCGTGTTAAAACAGCTAGCTGAAAGTTAGTTTTGTCTGCCTGAGAGTATTAAAAGTCTTTATAGTTGCCATAAAGCTAAACGAATACACCCTTCTATTAATGAAATCTTAATAGTTTTTTAGTCTGTGACATTAATGCATTTAAGAATCTTTGTAATTGTTGACGCTTTTGATGAATGCTAAGAATCCAGTGGCTGCCGGGCGAGATTTATCTCGGAACTCTCTAATCTTTGAAAGAATAATGGAGTAAACATCTTTGCGACATCGAGGTTTATCCCAGATATTAGGGATAAATTTAAGGGAAGCAAAGAGGTTGAGATCCGTGCTTATGATGAGGATGTGCGAAAATATTTAGAGAGCCAGATAATGCAGTGTGGTTCAGCACTCTTAAAGGCACGTTGTGAAGAAATTACAACAGAGATTGCAAAGGTGGTCAAAGGAATGTGAGTTTTTATTTTCCAATTATATAAAAAGACTAGTACTAAATAACATTTACGCAGGTTTCTCCTTGCACAGCTTTATTTCGAAACCATTAAGACTAAAGAAAGATTAAAGCAGTTTAAAAATACCCTGGAAAAATTACCTACCGGGCAGAAAGCATATGATTTTGCTTACGAAGAGGCTATATGGAGAATCAAGGGCCTGGATCCAGATTCCAAGGAGCTAGCATGGCTGGTTCTATCATGGATTACCTGCGCAAAAAGACCATTTGCTACAAAGGAGCTTCAGCATGTACTTGCAGTAGAAGTAGGTAAGGCTGAATTAGATGAAGAAAATTTCGTTGAGATTGAAGATATGGTCTCGGTATGTGCTGGATTGGTTACTATCGACGAAGAAAGCAACATTATACGACTAGTCCACTATACAACTCAGGAATACTTTGAGAGGACGCAGAAATAATGGTTCCCGACTGCATAGGTTTAAATTGCCACAATTTGCATTACTTATCTCTTATTTAGCGCTTTTGAGACCGGATTTTGTGAAACACACCAGGAATTTGAGGAGCGATTGCAATTATTTCCGTTCTATAGCTATGCTGCGCACAGCTGGGGGTACTATCCTCCTAAGGATGAAGCGGGTTAAGAAGTTATTAAGTTTCTCAAGAGCTAAGCCAAGGTTGAGGTATTGAGTTAAGCGCTGATGGCTATTGAGAGCAACCACAGTTAAATAATGCAGACGAAAATGACCGGATTACACTTGGCAGGGTTCTTTGGATTGCATAAGGCCACAGATATACTCCTTGAACTTGGACATAGCCCAAACGAGGTAGATACTTGGAACCGACAGCCTCTGTGGTATGCTGCCCAGAACGGACATGAGGCCCTGGTAAAGCTACTGTTAGCAAGCGGAGCTATTGTTAATACTACTGATATGTTCGGAGAGAGTGCACTCTCGGTAGCAGCCAGAATCGGCCACTAGGGGATTGTTGAAGCGCTATTAGCAGCAGGAGCCGATATTAATGCTGGTACTGGCTTTGCAAAAGAAACTGCACTCTTAGAAGCAGCTGTAAGCGGTCATCAGGGGATTGTTGAGGCGCTGTTGGCGGCAGGAGCTAATGTTACTTTTGATAACCGTTGGGGACGGACTGTACATATAGTTAAGATTGCAGCTAAGAGAGGTTACCAAGAGATCGTCGAGAAGCTGTTGGCAGCAGGGGCCCAGCAGTAACTAGTATTTACACAAGAATGGCAATTATTATCAGAAAATCATGACACTTTGTCTTTATAAAGGAAGCCAAATTCGCACAGACGCTAGATAACGTTGAAGAAATGGAGTGGGGGTAAAGAGTCACTACGGGGCACATGACAACTCTGCACGAACATTTAGATATTGACATTCGTCATTCCGGAGGAGACAGCTCTGTGTCAAACGTCAAATCATTTCGGCGTTAGGCATATGACGACCGCTATGTATCTCATCTGTTCCATGTCCATAGTAGATCAAGAGTAACTTGCTTTGTACTTTCCCTCCCCAATATAAACACAGCCTTTTAGCCCTTGCATCTTGGGCTTACCGCTTTTCCCTCAGTCCTCCCACAGCCTGATACTCCCGTTCACGCCCTGTTTGACACCATGTTAAGGGCATAGGATGAAAACCGAAATGGTGTCTCAAATCGATCCAATAAGGCAGAATTTGCCGTTGCAGAAACATCGCTTTGAAAATCAAGCACCTTATTGGATATTGAATACATACGCACGCGTATAGAAGCAGGGCTAACTTTAACCCTGCATCTTCTTTCTCTTGCCGATCTGGGCAGAGAAACCCGTCTTGATGGCTGTGACACTTCGTCGTGAAGCGCAGTTGTTGCAGGTGATGAAGTACAGACGGTTCTCACCCTTGTTGAGCTCGGTATCGGGGGACCTGCAAGTTTTGCAGGTAACGTACTCGACTGAGAAACAGCTAGTTAGTATGATATTATTTTACCAAGATTCAAGAAAGAGGACAAAGTGGATGGGAAATGGAAGAGTAAGAGGTGGTGGTAGGTGTGAAGAGGATCCTAGTCTTGGACCCGGGATGGGCAGTATGAGGCCCGCCCCACCGCCTGTGCGTGACGGGATAGACGTACTGATGTATTTTCTGACGACGTTCTCAATCTGTTTCTGCTGGAATCGACCCTTGATGACCAGTCTCCTATTTCCGTCAACGGAGCCGTTTGTACCCAATTCGGCAAACAGGTAGGCGGTGAGATGTTCTTCGGTTCGCTTCATGCGCTTGCTGATGTCGGCAATGTTGGCAAAGACAGTTTTCCTGTTGCCTTCACGCATGCACTGGGGAGGAGGAATCTTGTAGCTCTTGGTGCCGCTGAGTGAGTGGTCGGGATTCTTTTGTGATAGAACAGTGAAGAAGCGGGAGAGCAGCATGGTATAGGGGATTGTCTTGGACTCGTCGTGGGCCCAGACACCGGTGCCAGTCTCCATGTCACCCTCATCCTCCTGAGCTGCCTCCTCGGCCTCTTCGGCGTCCTTAACCTCGAGCTGCTTCAGCTTGGCAGTGAACTCATCTTCCTCAGCACCTTCGGCCTTCTTGACCTTCTTCTTCTTCTTCTTCATGGTCAGGTCGAGACCTCCATCTTCGGCGGGGGCAGCGCCATCCTCAGCATCGGCATCGGCTTCGACGCCCTCAACCTTCGTCTTCTTCTTCTTCTTCTTTTTCAGGAGAGATAAGTCAAGGCCGCCATCTTCGGGAGGGGCAAGTTCGTCGGCGGCGGCTTGAGATGAAGTATCAGCAAATGCTTCGAGGGCGGCAGACAAAGGCGGCGTACGAGGCGTGTGTGACTGAGCCGTCTCCTTGGGTTCCTCGACAGCACTCATGATGGTTATTGAGCCGTCGGTCTCGACTACTAGTTGCTCGTCGGTGAAGGCAACGGATTTACGGGAGGGCTTGCGTTCGAGTTGGTCCTGCGTAGTGGGGAAAAACAGAGGGAAAACGTTAGCAATGCTGGATGGCTTGTCTCGTGATGGAATTGAAAAGTCTAACAGAGGTAAAGGCAAAGGCAAAAAAAGGAAAATCTCAAAAGGGATTAGGCTGGGGAGTGGTACAGTACTGATGATGCCTGGTGATTTGTGATGCCGTCTAAATGGCAAAGGCTGTGACTCAGAGGTATGACAAGGGAGGAAGAATCATCGGGTGGATGAACAAAATGTCCGCGGTGAGTGTTGGTGGGGTAAATTTGCAGTGATTGGGGCTATTTTTTGCGTGGCCGGTGCTGGAACCTTGTGGGCTGTGGGAAGAAGAGAGGGGCAAAAAATGGTGTAGGAAAAAGCAGAGGGAGAGCAGAGCAGCTGGAGTGGCAACGCCAGGGCTAGCTTTCTTGGTCCAGAAGGTAAAGAAGGTTTCCATGAAAACGGAGACACCTCTCTTGGTTGGTTGTAGTGGTGCAGTGTGAGGTGGCGGACGTCAGACTTACCAGTACTTCGTTGTCCATGATTGCGGTGGTTTCTAGGCTTTTTGCCTTTGTCTTGCTTGCCCTCCTTTTGACAGCTCAGGTCTGCTCACTAGAGAAAAGGCCCCTCTCTGTGCGCAGCGTCTGTCTCAATCGCTGTCCTTCCTTGCGTCGCTGCTTGCTTGATAACTGAAGCTGGACGCTTATAGGCGCCGAGATGTCGAGTCGGCGGGCGATGGCTGACGCTTTGCAGCCAAATATGCGCGTATCTGCACGACGATGGCGTTTCCTGCAGAGGCTCACTGGTCCTTGTTGTAGCTGCAGATGGAAATGTTGAGTGAGCAGCGCTGAGTGAAAAGGTTGAGTTTGAGTCAGCTGCACGTCATGTCATGGGCCGTTTGTTTGGGCCGATATTCACGGAGCTGCTGGGCACTGATCTGATTGCACGGGGGAGTCACACCAAGAAGGAGGGGTGTCACGTGAGTTGACAGTGCACGATAAGATAACAGCTGCTGTGCCATTGAAGTTGCTCCTCTTCCAGCCGGCAGTGCTGTACCAGGTACGTACCTCAGGCCTGAACTGAACTGAACTGCAGCGCTGCAAACCTCCCGAGGTGGGCCAGTTGCAGCCGCCCTTCGGCATCAGTAGATCGGAACAAGCTCCACTGCGATTGCGAGGCCCAAGACCGTTCACGACGTCTATCCGCAGAGACAATCCAGATCCAGCAGTCGCCCTCGTCTGCATTCATGGCCTAAGATCTCCGACGACGCCGTAAAGCGCTCTCTCGTTCTTCCCACCGGGTCTCTCTCCCTCTCCCTCTCCCTCTCCCTCTCCTCCATAGAACAACCACTCAATCCTCTCTCTTCCCCTCGGAACCTCATCGCAATGGCCTCAGACGAGTCCCTCGTCGACCTCCACGCCTCCTCCCTCACCGACGACAAGGACGACGTCGATTCTCTCCCTTCCGAATCCACCAGCGATCTCTACTCCGAGGCCGATTCCGAGGCGCAGGCAGAATGGGACCGCAGCCTTGAGCAGCTCCAGCTCCTCCTCACCATGATTCTTGTGCCGTGGATGGGGAAGCTCTTTGGCCGCAAATTTGCTTATTGGAGTGAGTTGTGCCGGACCTGACATCTGCTTCTTATTCTCTCTATATGGCTCAGCTGCTGATGATTGTTCTTGCGCTTAGGCTGGGGTAAGTACATGAACTGGGTGCACAACGTAGACGTGCAAGTTACGAACAAGAAGTCGTTCAATGCTGCTGGCGCTGTTGCCGCCACTTTATAGCCGTCAGTCGGATTAAGAATCATTCGGCGTTTTTGGATCGACTGCTTGTCTTCACAGGCTGGGAATGTATAGATTGATTGCGGTTCGATATATAAACGTCAATCCGATAAAACATCAGAGGCGCCACTACCACCTTTTCGGCCAAATGTATGATGAAAAGCCTTGCATATACACCGGAGGCACGAGGGAAACCCTACTGCCAGGATCAACGCCACGTGTATTGTAGCACATGAGGTGTCATGAAGAGGAATGGTAATGGGCAACGAAGAATGTATATATAAACATGATTTTGTTATTCATCCCTCAATTACTACATTAGTTATCATTTCCATAATACTGTCCCTTTCCTGCCAACCTTTGGCAATACCAATCCAATACCGAATATTGCCCATCGTAAATGTATGTGCTAATACAGCGTAACTTCATATACCCGCCCAAACCCATCAACTTGACACCCATTAAACATGTTGGTTTCTTCTTGACAAAGCTCTACTCGCATGTGTTGAATTGAGAGAACATCTTCGCATTAAGTCTAGCTCCCTCAGTTGCTAGATGATCCACCGGGGACAAGATCCTGTTGATCAACAACAATGTTCCTCTCATAGCGAAAGAGCGAGGGATGTGAGGGGAAAGGACAGTGGATGCTCCTCGTCGAGCACACTTAGACCTGCGACATGGCAGGCCGAGATGATCGCGAAGAGCGGGACGTGCGGATCGACCCGCCAAACCCGCCGCTGCCCTTAGAATCCAGGATGGTGATGGCCAAGAGTAAGCTGAAGCACACCCAGAGGAACCACATGAACGCAGTGCTGGCCTGGATCTCACGGCACCTCCTCTCATCATGGTGAGAACCGAAGCCGATCCAGCCACTGGGCAAGTGAGCACCGGAGATGTTGCCGCAGTTGGGAGCTCGCAGCTCGG